TGACACACACACACGTGCACACTACACACACATGCACACACACGCACACACACACACACACACACACACACACACACACACAGCACTTGCACACACACACGCACACATACAACACACACACAGAACACCACACAACACAAACACACACACAGACCTACCAAACACACATGCAACACACACACACACACACACAACACACACATGCACACATCACAACAGACATATATATATATACACACACACTACACACACAATCACATACATATTACATATTACATACATACATACATACACACATACATACATATCATACATACATATATAAATATATATATTATAATAATATAATATATATATATATATATAAATTATATATATATATATATATATATATATATATATTATATATATATATATATTATATAATATACTATATATATAATATATATATATATATATATATATTATATTATATATATATATATATATATATATATATATATATATATATATATATTCACATACATGAATAGGTGTAATGCACAAAGACACGGACATGTATACATACTACCACGACTGCTTAAATGCCCGACTGCGCTATAATAAACACAACGACCTCAAAATACGAAAAGAAAGTGTTGTTTAGTCCGTAAAATTCTTGTTATTCTTTACCATTCCTCAAAATGGACTTTGTTTTACCTTTCTTACCTTTATCTTTTACTTTTACTTTTTTCTTTTATTTTTATCTTATCTTTCCTCTTCGCAATAATTCGTCTTTTCTTCCTCTCTTTGTATTTGTTTTCTTGGTCTGTTCCTCGCCTGTTTTCTGATTTGATGAATGGGTTGTTTATTCTTCTTGATTCGCTTGTTTATCATCATATTAATGTTTATTTTATCTTTATCTTATTCTTATCATTGTGAGGATTTTACCGAAGCCTGAGACACAGCGAGCACCAAGGGGTAACTAATCTATATGTTAAAACTCGATTATTCAACGTTCAAGCCTAAAGGTCAAGGGTGAAACGTTGACCTTCAGGGAGGGCCTGAGGTCGGGTCAGGTCAGGTCAGGTCAGGTCATCTAACTTTTATTTTTAGAATATTCAGAATAGGTGAGTGAATGCACTATCCACATTTTTTATGTTGTTGATGGTGATATTGGTATTGTAAATAAGGATAATAATAATAACAATAATGTGTGTGTGTGCATCTATCTATCTATCTATCTACCTATCTATATATCTATCTATATATATGTGTGTGTGTGTGTATGTGTGTGTGTGTGTATATATATATATATATATATATATATATATATATATATATATATATATATATATATATATTATATATATATATATATATATATATATATATATATATATATATATATATATATATATATATATAGTATATATATATATATATATATATGTATACTAAGTGTAAAACCTCCGGGTAACTTTACACAAATTTCTCACCGCTTTCCCGTCTCTTCCAGGTGCCTGCCACGCCGGAGAGCAGACACAGGTGAGTGCCAGGAGAGTGCCAAGTAGATGCCTCGGTGGCTCCCTGTACGGAGAGGTCTCGTTCTTTGTGTTTTTCGCCATTTATCAACTATTGCTTGTTTCCCATTTATTTAAACAGTTTTATGTACCATCCGTTAGACTATCTATCGGCAAAAAATTCTCTATCTATTTGAATGTCTATTGGCAAAAAATCTATATATCTGAATGTCTATCGGCAAAAAAAATCTATCTATCTGAAATCGTCTATCGGCAAAAAAATCTATCTATCTGAATGTCTATCGCAAAAATCCATCTATCTATCGGCAAATATTCCTCTATCTATCTGAATGTCTATCTGTCTATCATTGAAGTGAAACAGCATCCAAGGCAAAAGATAAGTTATAGGTTCTCTTGGTGTGTTGTTTCTGTTCTATCTATCAATCTATCTATCTATCTAACCGTATCATTTGTATATTTATGTCTATCTATTATCTATTATCTATTTATTATTTATTTATTTATATTTATGACTGTCTATTCGTTTATCCATTTTCCATCTATCTATTTATCTATCCCTTTCTATCTACTTATCATCAACATTCGCACACAATAAGCAAACAAATCTCATATTACTAGTCCTGTCAACTCTAAATAAATGAACAAATAAACAAATACATAAACAAAACAAACAAACAAATAAATAAAAAAACAAATACACGAATAAACAAATAAACAATAAATAAACAAGTAAATAAAAAAATACAAAATAATGAATAATAAGTAAAGAATAAACAAGTAAATTGATAAAACAAAAATAATCAAAAGAAATACAATAACACGCGACACACACTCAAGCCCGTCTAAGACCAAGCAGTCATGCAAATAAAGAATATACAGATCGACTGCTGGGAAACAGGCAATCATGCAAGCAGGCAGGTGGTCGAGTGGAGAGAGAGAGAGGAGGGAGGGGGGAGAAGAGGAGGGGAGAGGGTGAGAGAGGAGAGGGGGGGAGAGGGGGGAGGGGGGGAGAGAGAGGGGGGGGAGAGGGAAAGAGGAGGGAGGAGAGGGAAAGAGGAGAGGGGGGAAGGAGGAGGAGGGAGGAGGGAGGGAGGAGGGAGGGAGGGAGGGAGGGAGGGAGAGAGAGAGAGAGAGAGAGAGAGAGAGAGAAGGAGAGAGAGAGAGAGAGGAGGAGAGAGAGAGAGAGAGAGAGAGAGAGAGAGAGAGAGAGAGAGACAGGACAGACAGAGAGACAGAGGAGAGAGAGAGAAGAGGAGAGGACAGAAAGACAAACAGACAGAATCAGAGACAGGAAAAACAGGAGAGAGAGACAGAGACAGACACAGAAAAACCGAGAGACAGGGGAAAGAGGGCAGAGACAGAAAAAACAGAGAGGGAGACAGGGAAAGAGAGACAGAGGACAGAGACAGAAAAAATAGAGAGAGAGACAGGGAAAGAGAGACAGAGACAGAAAGAACAGAAAGAGACAGGGAGAGAGAGACCGAGACAGAGATAGAAAAACAAGAGAGAGAGACAGGGAAAGAAGACAGAGACAGAAACAGAAAAAAAAAACAGAGAGAGAGACCCGAGGACAGAGGAACAGAGACGAGACAGGAAAGACCGAGACAGAGACAGACAAACAAAGAGAGAGAGACAGGGAAAGACAGACAGAGACCGAGACAGAGACAGAAAAAAAGCAGAGAGAGACAGGGAAAGAGAGAGCTCGAGAGCGAAGCAGAGCCGGGGCGAGAGCAGGCAAACGCGCTTTCAGAAATTCAGACAGCACGTAAGCCCTTCTTGCCACCCAACAGACGCCCCAGTGCATGAAGAGCCTCGAGACAGTGTGCTTGCTTGCGTCCTCTGCTTGCTTGCTTGCTTGCTTGCTTGTCTGTCTCGACTTTCTCTCTAGAAAAGAAGAGGAGGCATTTGTCTGCTTTTGGGGAATGGGGGTTAGGTTAGGTTTGCTTGCTTTTGGGGTTGATTCTTGTTGTTTTTTGTTTTTATTTTTTGTATTGATTTTTTTCTTACTTTATTTTCTCTTTCT